AAACCCCTATGACCCCCCTCCTCGCCACCCCTAAGAGCGAAAAAATTTCAAATAGTTTGCACTCAGTGGGAATAAGAACGTAACATGTGGATTTGTGCCACCCAGCAAAGCAAAGAGGGAAATTTATAGCATCAAATACTTAGCTTCAAAAGGAAGAAATATCTACAATCAGTAATCTAAGTTTTGCCTCGACCTTAGGAAATTTGAAAAAGAATAGCGAATTCCATCCAAAGTAGAAGAAAAAAACATAATAAGCATTAGAGGCCGAGTAGGTGATATTGAAAACAGAAAAGCAGCAGGGGGCCAGGGAATCAGTGAAAGCAAGAGCTGGTTCTTTGAAAAGAACAATAAAGCAATCAAACATGTAGAGGAGGAGGAGGAGGAGGAGGAGGAGGAGGAGGAGGAGGAGGAGGAGAAGGAGAAGGAGGAGGAGAGGAAGGGGGAAGGGTGAGGGAGAAGGAAGAAGAAAAGAAAGAAGAAATATAAGAAATTTGGGTTGGAAAAGGGAGCTCAGATAGAGAAGGGAGCACCAAAGAAAGGGTGTTGGGAGGATCGTCCCAGGATGGGAGATGCATGCTGAAAGTAGACTATAGACCAAACATGATTGCCACTTAATGCCTCTTTTGCAAACCGCAACACTCCAAAGGAAAGAGAACAAAAGGGAATGCCCGACCACAGAGGCAGGGTGAGATGGGGGGGTGGGGGGTGGGAGGGATACTGGGATCCGTGGTGGTGGGAAATGGACACTGGTGGAGGGATGGGCACACGATCATTGTATAATTGAAACCCAAGCACAAAAACTACAACTGTACCTCATGATGTTTCACTAATAAAAATTTTTAAAAATTGGGGTTGGAGCAATACTACAGTGGAGAGGGTATTTGCCTTGCACATGGCTGATCTGGGTTCGATCCCCAGCATCCCATATGGTTCCCCAAGCACCGTAAGGAGTAATTCCTGATTGCATGAGCCAGGAGTAACCTCTGTGCACTGCCGGGTTTACAAAAAAACAAAAAAAAAATGAAAGAGGCAACATTAATAGAACCAGTTCCGTGGAAGACAGACACAATTCTTCACTATTTTATGCATGAACATTATTATGAACCATGTTAGAAATTTGGTAACAGCAAGAATAGCTGAGATCAACACCAGGAGGATTACTCCATAGCTTAGAGGCCAGCCGGGTATTCTAGGGGAAAGGGCAGTTCAGATAGAGAAGGGAGCACCAAATGGAGGGTGTTTGGAGGATCCTCCCAGAAGGGGAGAAGCATGTTGAAAGTAGACTATGGACTGAACATGTTTGCCACTCAATGCCTCTTTTGCAGAACACAACACCCAAAAGGAGAGAGAGAACACAAGGGATTGCCCTGCCACAGAGGCAGGGTGGGATGGGGGGGGGGGTGGGGGTGAGAGGGATATTATTCATGGTGGTGGAAAATGGGCACTGGTGGAGGGATGGGTATTTGATCATTGTATAACCGAAACTCAAGTACAAAAATTTGTAAATCTACAACTGTACCTCATGGTGTTTCACTAATAAAAATTAAAAAAAAAGAAATTTGGTAACAGACAGAAGAGATCAATTCCCGACTGCCTTAACTCTCACACATGAAGAAACTGAACACCCAAATAAGTCTCTGATAGAAACAAAATCATTAATTACTGACCTTCCCAGCCGGGCCCAGCTCCCACTAGGAGACTCTTGTCAGAGAACTCACCTAGGATGGACCCCAGGGTCATGTGGAGTGACCGTAGTGGGTGGAACACAACCCCTGCTCCCGCTCATCTGTGGGGGGCAGTGGGGAAGAACTCCAGAGCCCCTGGGCTAAGACGTTCCAAGTTCAGAATGGTGCTCCTGGGATTTTGACTTTTAGGCTGTACAGCTGAGGCAGAATACTGTTTGTTGTGAACAATGTTTGGTCTTACTATTGGTGTGTCTTACTATTTTTCTCCGTGAACTCTTTTTAACTGTGGTTTGTTATCGTAGCACTTTTTAACAATGAAACTATACTTGAACAGTTCCAAACCGTACATACTGTACGAAGCTTCTCTCAATGGATTTCTTATTTCAGTGTGGAATTTCATATCTTGCAGTGTCCTGTAAATAAAGATTGAATTCCAAGAGAAAAAAAAAAGGGGGAGGGTTGGAGTGACAGTTCTGCAGGACTGGGACTCTATTTATTTTTCTTTTTGGGTCACACCCGGCGATTCACAGTGGTTCCTCCTGGCTTTGCACTCAGGAATTACTCCTGGCGGTGCTCAGGGGACGATATGGGATGCTGGGAATCGAACCCAGGTCGCCCGCATGCCAGGCAAACGCCTTCCCCGCTGTACTATCGCTCCGGCCCCAGCCCGCTCCTTTATAACCCTTTGCTGCCACCATGTGGCCGTTTCTATTACTGCCCAGAAAAGAGCTGCGGCGTCTGTCAGGTTGCAAATTAGGGACCAGTGCAGGAAAGCATCTTAGAAATAATTGCATGGGGCTCTCCGGGTCGGGATGGGAGACCTCCCCCCACCTCCCTGTACTTCTGGAAGCCTCGGCAAGTCACAACCACACCCCGGAGCTGCCACCCAGTTAAAAATCTACTCCAGTTGTGCCTTCCCGATAAAAGTACTGAACAATTTGAACAACCACGATTAGCACCTGTATTAACTCAGGAAGAAAGAGAGACAGAAGAGAAAAGTGTCTGCCATGTCTGAAACCCTAGCCCAAAGGATCTTTGCCTGGGGTTTGATCCCTGCACCTCGCAGGGACCCCGAGCACTACCAGCAGTGACCCCTGAGCACAGAGCCAGTAGTAAGCCCTGAACACAGCTGGGTGTGGTTCACATTCCCTGCTCCCCTGATCCCTAATTTAAAAAAAAAAAGGAAGAGCACTTGGGGGTCCCGAGCAAGTAGGGCGTTTGCCTTGCAGGCGATGGATCCGGGTTCAATCCACAACATTCCATATGGTCCCCCCCATCAAGCATTGCCAGGAGTAATTCCTGAGTGCTGTCAAGAGTAACTCCTGAGGGGCTGGAGCAATAGCACAGCGGGGAGGGCGTTTGCCTGGCACGTGGTCGACTCAAGTTTGATACCCAGCATCCCATATGGTTCCCTGAGCACCTCCAGGGGTAATTCCTGAGTGCAGAGCCAGGAGTAACCCCTGTGCATCGCCGGGTGTGACCAAAAAGAAAAAAAAAAAGAGTAACTCCTGAGCATCACCAGGTGTGACCCAAATATTTTTTTTTTTAAAAGGCATTAATTTGCTTGATATGCCTGGTGACTAGTTTTTTTTTATTTTATTTTTTTATTTTTCTTTTTTTTATTAGTGATACACCATGAGGTACAGTTGTAGATTTACAATTTTTTGTGCTTGGGTTTGATTATACAATGATCAGATACCCATCCCTCCACCAGTGCCCATTTTACACCACCATGGATAATATCCCCCCATCCCCCCATCCCCCCCTGCCTCTGTGGCAGGGCAATCCCCTGTGTTCTCTCTCTCCTTTTGGGTGTTGTGGTCTGCAAAAGAGACATTGAGTGGCAAACATGTTCAGTCCATAGTCTACTTTCGACATGCATCTCCCCTCCTGGGAGGATCCTCCAAACACCCTTTATTTGGTGCTCCCTTCTCTATCTGAGCTGCCCTTTCCTCTAGAATGCCCGACTGGCCACTAAGCTATGGAGTAATCCTCCTGGTGCTGATCTCAGCTATTCTTGGGTATTAATCTCATATTTTGTTACTTTATATCCCCCAGATGAATGCAATCTTTCTATGGGTGACTAGTTTTTAAGCTCATGTTCTAGAAAAGTAAAGTAAAAGTAAAGGCCCTCCCGTTGATCGTTGATTTGCTCGAGCGGGCCCAGTAACGTCTCCATTGGAGACTTTGTTGTTACTGTGTCTGGCATAGCCAATACTCTCGGTAGCTTGCCAGGCTCTCCGAGAGGGGCGGAGGAATCGAACTCGGGTCGGCCATGTTGGCCGCTTGTAAGGCGAACGCCCTACCCGCTGTGCTAGCTAGCTATCGCGGCCGCGCGGTTTTGAATTTCTGCTATTTTACTTATTGACCCTGGAAGAATTTCTATTAAAAGTTAGCTAGTTAAGAGATTGGTTTCTGTGCCCTGGAGTCGTGGCCGTGCCGGAGAGCCGCTCGTGGGGGGCAGCTGGCGACCTCGGTGGGGCGTGGGGGACGGCCCACAAAGCCCCCCTTCCCATGAGGTCCCTGCCGCTCCCGCCAGCCCCGGCTCAAACCCGCTTTCCACAAGGCTCCCGTGCGGCCGCCATCTTTCTTTCCAGAGAGGAGCGGGCGGGCTGGTCAACGCCCTTCCCCCTCCGGGCAGCTTGGTGGCGCGGATCAACACAAGTCCATTTGCTTTTCTGCTCCAAGCGGCTGGTTCTCTGTGCTAAGTCCTTGTGCTTCCGGGGCCGTGGCCGTGCCGGAGAGCCGCTCGTGGGGGGCAGCTGGCGACCTCGGTGGGGCGTGGGGGACGGCCCACAGGAGATGACAGAGGCGGAAAAATGCATGATTATTTTTTTTTCTAACCTCTACAAATTTGTTTAAAAACCCTAGCAAGGACATTTTCCTCCATCCTAAGTAGAGGGCTAGGTAGCCGCATCTCACTTGAACTTTCATCTTTTTTTTTTTAATTTAAAAAAAATTTTTTTGAAGTTTTTTTATTTTTTTAATTTTTTTTGAATTTTTTTATTAAAAAATTTTTTTATAGTGAGACATCATGAGGTACAGTTGCAGACTTACACATTTTTGTGCTTGGGTTTCGATTATACAATGACAAAACACACATCCCTCCACCAGTGCTCATTTCCCACCACCACGGATCCCAGTATCTCTCCCACCCCCCATCCCCCCCATCCCACCCTGCCTCTGTGGCAGGACATTCCCTTTTGTTCTCGCTCTCCTTTTGGGTGTTGTGGTCTGCAAAAGAGGCAATGGGTGACAATCATGTTTGGTCTATAGTCTACTTTCAGCATGCTTTATTAGTGAGACACCAGACAGCCCGGGGCCTCCTCTATTCCTTGGGGATCTCAAACATGCAGAGGCTCTTACACTTCTGCAGAAGTTCATTCTTGATCCTGACTTGCTCTCGGAGACTCTGCAACTGCTGCTGCTGCTCCTCAGGGCTCAGGTGGATGCCGGGCATGGTGCCGATGATCTCACGCAGCTCCTGGAACTTGGTTTTGAGGGCATTCAGGTTCTGGAGGATGTCCGGGTCGTCCTTGTCCATGCATTTGATGATGTTGTGCACCAGGGGCAGGAAGGAGTAGCACTCGTCCTCCTTCTCGGCCGGCGCGGGCGGCTGTGGCAGCGGCAACGGCTTGGCCTCGGTCAGCGGCGGCTCAGAGGGAGCTGGCAACGTTTCTTTGGCCTGTCGACCCGCGGCCACTCCGGCAGAGGCCATGGCGCTCGGCAGCCCCCGGGTCCTGGAGACCAAGCTGAGATCTCCAAGCCTGCTTGGATCGGGACTGAGCATCCCCCACCCAGATCCTCCACCTTCCAGTAGGCAGGGGCCACACCCACCAATTTGCCCCCTGGCGCTGTGTAATCCCATCAATGGCCAAGACCCAGAGACTATAAAACCCAGCTCCCGGAAGAGAACAGCGCAGAGTCTCCTGCCCCCCCCCACCCCCTCACCCCCCACCCCCCACGCCTGGCTGTCCTCGCTGGGGCCCCTTGGAGGGGAGCGGGTTGAGTTTCCCTCCCCGCCCCAACCAGGGCTCCGGCAGCCGAAGACCTCCAGAACCAGCCACCACCATGCTGAGACTACTCTCCTCACGCATGAAGGTACTGGCAGAGGAACAAAGGCATGCAGGTCCCGGGGCTGAGATCTCCAAGCCTGCTCGGATCGGGGCTGAGCATCCTCCTCCCAGATCCTCCATTTTCCAGTAGGCGGGGGTCACACCCACCAACTGACCCCCTGGTGCCATGTAATCCCATCAACGGCCAAGACCCAGAGACTACAAAACCCAGCTCCTGGAAGCACGCGGCCGTGCAACATCTTATTATCTCATTCCTACTTTGGACAAACTGGCAGGCTACCGAATGTAACCTGCCCACACAGCAGAGTCTGGCAAACTCCCCGTGGCGTACCCAATATGCCAAATACCAGTAACAATGAAGGGTCTCATTCTCCTAACCCTGAAAGAGCCTTGAATATGGCACTTTTTAAAAAATCTCAGGGTTAGGACGAAGGAGACATTACTGGGGCCTGCTTGAGGCAATCGACGAATAACAGGATGGTCGTGATCGTGATCGTGAGACACCATGAGGTACGGTTGTAGATTTACAAATTTTGTGCTTGGGTTTCAATTATACAATGATCAATTACCCATTCCTCCACCAGTGCCCATTTTCCACGACCACGGGTCCCAGTATCCCTCCCACCCCCTATCTCCCCCATCCCACCCTGCCTCTGTGGCAGGGCATTCCCTTTTGTTCTCTCTCTCTCTCCTTTTGGGTTCTGTGGTTTGCAAGAGAAGCACCGAGTGGCAATCATGTTTGGTCTATAGTCTACTTTCAGCATGCTTCTCCCATCCTGGGAAGATCCTCCCAACACCCTTTATTTGGTGCTCCCTTCTCTATCTGAGCTGCCTATTTCCCTAGCATGTGTGGCTGGCCTCCAAACCATGGAGCAAAATTCCTGGTACTAATCTCGGCCATTCTTGGGTGTCAAACTTCCATCTTCCTCCCCAGTCTTATAAACTTAGAACAGAAAACATATTTTTTTTGAGGGGGGCAAAGTAGGCGGTGGTGTTGAACCACACTAAGTTGATTTCAGGGTTTGCTCCTGGTGCTGTGCTCAGGGAACCATATGGGTGCTGGGAATTAACCCGGGTCGCCCATGTGCAAGGCAAGCACCCTACATGCTGTACTATCACTCCAGCTTCTAGAGTGGGAAAATATTCTTTTCCCTTTTTTTTTTAATTTTAGCTTTTTGGGTCACATCCGGTGATGCTCAGGGCTTGCTCCTGGCAGTGCTCGGGGGATGCAGGGGATTGAACCCGGGTTGGCCACATGCAAGGTAAACGTCTTCCCAGCTGTACTATCACTCCGGCCCAGTAGAAAATATTCTTATAAACAACTTAAGTTCTTTACTTACATGGATTTCTTATCCTCTTCGCCCTCTGGAAAAGAAGCTGTCTGAAGGTGGACCATTTTTTTTTTCTTTTTGGATCTCACCCAGCAATGCTCAGGGGTTCCTCCTGGTTCTGCACTCAGGAATTACTCCTGGTGGTGCTCAGGGGACCATATGGGATGCCGGGAATAGAACCCAGGTCAGCCGTGTGCAAGACAAATGCCCCACCCACTGTACTATTGCTCCAGCCCCAGGCGGAGCATTTTGTCTTATTTCCTAATGGGTAATAAGGAGCTGCTTAATTAAAAATGCTCATATTTTTGTTGTGTCGCCAAAAATCGTATCCAGGGTGTCACACATGCAAGGCAAATTCTGTAGCATTGAGCTATACCCCCGATCACAGGAAGTAATGATTGAATGAATGCACGGTTGGTTGATATGAAAAACAAGGCCAGCGTATTTGAGGTTAGAGACAAAATAAGGAGAAGGAGTTTCAATGCTAGAAATCAACTGTGCAGAATGTCCTTTTTTTTTTTGTCTTAAATAGAAAGTGGTTTTCTCATACCAATTACGGAGTGGCCGAATGAACTCGTCTCCGAATCCCACAAGATTCAGTCTTGTATTTGAACTCCAGCCAAATAAATTATACACGAGTACATTTAAGCTGCACTTTGCTTGAGTCGTTCAACTGCTGAGGGACATTTCATCTGGTTAAATATTAAATACTGTCAAGTACAGAAAGCCAATTACAGGTCATGGTCGATATTTCTTCTTGGAATGTTCGTCTCACTGTACTATCGCATTAACTCTCTTACTAGTTACTCGAGACTACTGAGAACACACAAAGTGAACAATATAAGGAGTGTTTTCCAAGCCCTTGTTGTACATAGCACAGTTATAACTCCCCGTTTCTGTTGATTTATATCTGGCGGTGCTCAGGGATCACTCCTGGCAGTACTTGGAGGACCCTATGGGGTTACAAAATTTCCATGTTTGAGTTTTAGTCATACAATGATCGAACACCCATCCCTCCACCAGTGCACATTCTTCACCACCAATATCCCTAGTATACCCCCCCTTTCCCACCCTCCCCCTGACTCCATGGCAGACAGCTTCCCCCATACTCTCTCTCTACTTTGGGGGCATTATGGTTTGAGAGGTCATCATGTTTGGTCCTTTATCGACTTTCAGCACACATCTCCCATCCTGAGCGATCCCTCCAACCCTCATTGACTTAGTGGTCCCTTCTCTATCCCAGCCGCCTTCTCCTACAGCTATGAGGCAGGCTTCCAACTATGAGGCAATAATCCTGGCCCTTGTGTCTACTGTCCTTGGGTGTCAGTCTCATGTTACGTTGCTTTATACTCCACAAATGAGTGCAGTCAGTCCTTCAATGTCTGTCCCTCTCTTTCTGACTCTTCACTTAGCATGATACTCTCCATGTCTATCCACTTATACGCAAATTTCATGACTTCATTTTTCCTAACAGCTGCATAGTTTTCCATTTTTTAGATGTGCCAAAGTTTCTTTAACCAGTCATCTGTTCTCGGGCTCTCTGGTTGTTTCCAGATTCTGGCTATTGTGAACAGTGCTGCAATGAACATATAGATGCAAGATGTCTTTTTTTTTTTTTTTTTTTTTTTTTTGCTTTTTGGGTCACACCCGGCAATGCACAGGGGTTACTCCTGGCTCTGCACTCAGGAGTTACTCTTGGCGGTGCTTAGGGGACCATATGGGATGCTGGGAATCGAACCCGGGTCGGCCATGTGCAAGGCAAACGCCCTACCCGCTGTGCTATCTCTCCAGCCCGCAAGATGTCATTTCTATGGTTCTTTTTGCATCCTCGAGATGAATTCCCAGAGATGATATTGCGGGGTCATATGGAAGCTCAATTTCTAGTTTACAAAAAATACTTAAGGGGCCAGAACTTTTGTCTTGCTGGTGGCCTACCCTGGTTCGATCCCTGGCACCGCATGTGGTCCCTAGAACACTGCTAGCACTGACCATGAGCACAGACCTGGGAGTAAACTAAGCACAGCTGGCTGTGACCTCCAAACCAAAAGAAATAAAATAAAGTATTTCCATAACACCTTCAATATCTGAAAATTAAGATCTTATTTCTTTGATACAATGAAAAAACAAAAACAAAGACCAAACCCTCAAGCCTCTGGTCCAGTGAAAAGAATGGTTCAGTAATTTTTGATTGTTTTTTGTTTTTTGAGTCACACCCAGCGGTGCTCAGGGATTACTCCTGGTTCTTAACTCAGGAATCACTCCTGGTCATGCTCAGGGAACCATATGGGATGCTGAGACTCGAACCCGGGTCAGCATGCAAGGCAAATGCCCTCTCACTGTGTTACCTCTCTAACTCCTGACTCTGGGAATTGTAATGCTTCTTCCATCATGAACTTCATTTGAAGAATACATGAAACAATTTTTTTTCATACGGCCATCATATAGCTATATAATAGAGTTATTAAACCAAATGTGGACTCCAAATCCAGGCTTTATTAGTTTTAAAATGTTTGCCTATAGCCCCCCTGAGTTGTAAATCAAATCAAACAGAATGATTCATTGAACAATTCAAACAAAAATCAATTGTATTTATCTTTTGGCCTAAGGAATTACTTTAACTTCCTATTGATTTGGCAGTGTTTTGTTTTCACTTGAACCAACAGGGCAAAAACTGCCATTTACCTAAACGATAGATTTTTACTGATGAAGGACTTCTTGAATGTTGTAAAGAAGCATTACGATGAAATTTACCATCACATTCGATCTGTGTAAAAAACAAGGTATCAGTTTTGCTTAAAGTGATGAAGCACTCAACACTAAAAATAAGACGAGAGTAACGTATGAATACAGACAGATTAAGAATGCACATTCAAGAGAAGAGTTAGATTCTCCACAGAACTTGCCCTGTTCTGCCTCTCTTTTCTATATTTGTTTCCAGAATGTATTCTTTGAATTCTTAAAAAAAAAAAACAAACAGAGAGGGGGCTGGAGCGATAGCACAGCGGGTAGGGTGTTTGCCTTGCACGTGGCCGACCCAGGTTCGATTCCCAGCATCCCATATGGTCCCCTGAGCACTGCCAGGGGTAATTCCTGAGCGCAGAGCCAGAAGGAACCCCTGTGCATTGCCAGGTGTGAACCAAAGAGCAAAAAAAAAAAAACCCACAGAAGTAATATATTGATGTTCATATTAAAAAAATAAATTAATAACTGTATCACGGTATCACACGGTATCACGGTCCTCCCGTTGTTCATCGATTTGTTCGAGCCGGCCCAGTAATGTCTCCGTCATGAGACTTGTTGTTACTGTGTTT